CTTAGGATACCTAAATCTACAAGTTTGCTGTTTTGTTTTTTTATTAACACGAATGCAATATGAAGGGCTACAACGCATGAGGCATTGTAGCTTGTTTATTAATTCAATATAATCCTGCAAATTGTCTTTTATTTCATCATTACATTTCTAGCAGGGATGTCATTCAGGTATAGATGCAAAAATTTCTAGATTGTTCGTCGTAACTATTGAATCAATATACTGTATTACATTATGCATCTCATTTTCATTTTCTTTTATTTGTGTCCCTTCAATTTTAGGTGCATTTTTTCTTTTTCTAATTCCATGTGCGTGAATACTTCCCCGATGTTGCCATTCATATCGATACCAAAAATCTTCTAAGTCCCATCATTTTATTAAGACGTCATGAAAAAATGTATTAAAGCGTTTATCGAAGAACCAAGTAGCTATATGCGGATTTTCTATAATATTCCGTTGTCATTGTTTAGCTGAATCACATTCTTCACTATTATTATCATCTGGCATTAATTTATGAAGTTTAGGCCAGTGCAAGTTAGCCGCACTAAAAATAAAAAACAATAGACCTTGATGATGTATTTGCTTGATCAAATCCATCAATTTATATCATCGTAACATCCAAAATTGTCGAGTATCACGTAACCCTTCACCATATCTCATAATTCAGTCTGCTAGATGTTTATCACCATTTGCAATCTTTTCTTGTATATCTTGAACATCAAGTTGGTCATTATTTAGATTCTGCTTAACATACACCTTTCCTTCTTGCAATGCTTTCCATCTCATCACAGAATTTAACACAAAATACCTTCATTATGTATGTCGTGCAAATCTCCCATGCTTATTTCACATCATATGTTTGAAGTATTCTGCTAGTTTAATATCCTTTACATGTTTCGCATGAAGATCTGCACGTCTGATAGGATATAGAGTTGGAAATGCATAAACAATATATCCTATAGTTTAGAATTCGTTTATAGGGCACCTGTCTATTTCTGACCACATTGTATGAGGGTTTTCGCTTTGCATACGTTCAAGTGTATTATTAATAGCAGTTTTCTCTCATTAATTTTTAGGAAGAGTTGGCACAAATGTATCATCTTCGTTTTCAGTGTCATCATTTTTGTCAATTATATTATCATCCTAAACTCGTAGAAGCATTTCAACAATAGAATCATCTTCAGGTAAGGATTGAATAATTTCGTTATCAATATTTATATTTGCGTAATAATGATTGTTTTGTTTTAGCCATACTAATGCCCTAGCAACTTTATTTCATCGTACATTAAAATCTCTAAATGCTTTTGGATCATTTGCTGATTGACGTTGTATGATAAGAATGTCTAATGTTGATGGATGACGCAGAAGCCAAGTTGTAAATTCTTGTACTTCTTGTGAAAAATTTATAACATTTCCACGGTATTCGTATTGTTCGCCATGGAATCTGTATGCTGACATCACCGTAAAAACCTGTGCAATTAACATTTTTTCGATCTCCATAAGACCTTGTAATTCTTCAGGTATATCTCCCAAATCCATATTATTCTCATTGGAAAACTTTTTTATAGTATCTTTTTCGTTATAGCATCGACGACACATCAATTCATTAACAATTATCATCGATAGTATTTTTTCATTACATTTAGGACAAATTTTACATTCAATTTCTTCCATATTTTTACGAAATAGTTTAAGAATTTCATGTTCCTCCTCACTGATATTGGTCGCTGAAAGTGGTCTGGTTGAATCGTTCGTATTTCTTTGATTTTAATTTCATTTTACATGTTTGCTTTACGTTCACGGTCAAGACGTGACTCTCGTTTCTCAACTGATTATACATTTCATTTTTGAGCTTTTTGTTTGTGAACTTTTGTATAACAAGTCTCCTGTACTTTGTTGCTTTCTTGGCTTCTCTTTTGACATTTTCGCTCTCTCTATATGCCCGATTTAGATAAACTAGAATAATCAATTTAATCAATCAATTATTTAATGAACAATCGCTACATTTATTTGATGTAAAATTTAATTTCATGTACTTTATTATTTGATATGCTTTACATAATATATACATTCGTTTATTGTGTATAATCATCAATCAATTGTTAAAGATACAAATTTAACACAAATCTTGTTTTGATCTCGGTAAAACCCATTTTCTGGATTAAATAATAATTGTCTGAATAAAAAAAAACTATTTTAAGATGTTAACTTTGCGTCCCTACCATTAATGCATACTATTAAACAAGCCATTAATTGTTAAAAACTGCAGGCTTTGATAATCCGGATGAATTCGACATCTGGATTTTCAGTTTAATCCATATAAAATCAATCGATCACGTGATCAATGCTCTGGACTCAACAAACGGGTGAAGTTTCTCTAGTTATATAGAACACATTTCCAAATAATAACGAGAATCTAATTATTAATTATTATTATAAAACGAAGAAACAGCTATATTTATTATTTATTTTTAAGTCATAATTTATATTCCTTACCCAATCAAGTGCTGACAATTTTAATTATTCTTAATTTCATATATTAAATTCTCCTTAATATCTATGGTTATATCATATAAAATAAACAACATTGATTTGTATCATCAAAATTTATTACAAGGATATGATTTCAGGAGCAGCGTCCTATTTGATTTTAAATTAATCCAAAAAGAAAGTTGCTAATTGGAAATAAAATTTCTTTATACTATACAGTCCCCGGTGAAAAGAATGGCGGAAAGTTTTTTTTGAATAATAAAAGTTTTTAATAAATAACTTTCAAAATTTTTTTTTATTCTCAAATGCTTTTGATTAAGGAATTATACACTCAAATAATTAAATTATAAAAAGTATTCTCCTTCTCTGTCAATCTGGATTTAAATACAAGTTAAAATACTAAAAAATTAGGAAGTTAGTCTTTCTTCATATTAATTTAACTTTATGCTTTCTATTTCCTACCTTTTTAGTTAAAATATATTGTTTTTATTGTAAAATTTTTAGCTGAACAATTTTTATTAGTGGGTGAAGCTCGTTAACATAGTAAAATTTTTGTAATTTTAATTTTAATGATCAAACACTCAAATTTGACCTTGTTTCATAATCGTAAAAATTTTATTCATATTATAATATGCATTGCGGACTTTAAACAAATATACATAGCATTCAGACTAGTAATGCAATAAAATATCACGTAATTGTTTATACAAATACTTTTAAAAAAAAGTTAATTATATAGTAAAAGTTTGTACTGCCATTCTTTTCGTCGGGGACTGTATAAATAAAATCAAATAGTAATATTATTTTATTTTATCCTTCAATATTATTACAAATAATCTTTAAATGCTTCTCACTTTTATTCAATTTTTTATTTTCATTAAATATCAAACTAAGAGTTCTATTAGATCCTTTCCTATAATTTTATTTTCATTGAGAACATAATTAATTTGTTTCCTTACTGCTTCATCTTAAATACTAATTAAATGAATTTTACATAGACTAAGATAATAAATTTTATTTACTTATTAATTTAAATATAACATATGAACATTTTGAGTTTAATTATAATTATAATGAATAGTAGTATTAATACTATAATATTGTATTTTACCCTTTAAATAATATTAATCAATTAGTTTTTTTTATTCTTTTGTTAATTTTGTATTTTTATTATAATAATTTCTTTCTAATCTTACCTTAGACAAATATTCTTTAAATCTTTTGAATAAATCTTTAGCTTCTTTCTCTTAGTGAGCATTATAATATAAATTATCTCTAAATGTTAACAAATTGGTTCTTAAGCTCATAATTTGAATTTCTGATATCAATTAATGTTATAATTTTCTAAATGCATTATATTTTAAGGATTAACTTGTTATCTTCTTCTAAACTAGTCAAAAAATCTTTATGTACTGATTTATAACTTATTTTAACTGGTAAGAATATAATTGATTGGATTATTTTATTAATACTTCTTCTTAAATTTAGTAATCCATAAATTTCTGCATAATTTTTTAAAAAATTCTTTATCATATTTACAACAGTTTTATCAATCACTATTTTTGTTTTTTATTAAAGCATTCTTTTAATATTACTATGAATTCTTGATAGAAAATCATTCTTTATCAGATGATTTCTAATATTTTCAAAATAAGTCTTACTAATCCCTAACATATTGAGGTAATTTTCTTGACAAAGAAGTGTATTGTGATCTCAGTAATAGAAAGTTTTTTTATTAGATCTGGTTTTCTTTTTAAGATATCTGTTGGTACTTATTAATTTCTATCCATTATTTTAAATTAAACCATCAAAAATATGTCTTGTTTAGACTTGAAAAGAGCTTAAAAGGATTCCCTAAATTCTGCAAATTTTTTCTTAAGAATTCTGAAAAAGCAATTACATTTACAATGTTTTTCTAAAAAATCAATTGCTTTTTCATATCCATTAAAACTATTATGTTTATTATTTTCATTATTACTTTTTATATACATTTATTCTATATATATAATTTCATTTTCACATTATAGTTTTTTATAATTATTTTAAAATTAAAAAGAAGTAAATAAATGGAATTAAATTTGAATTAATTAATGGAATAGTTTTACGTAATGATTTAAAAGATATAATTGTAATATAACTTGTGAAGAGAAATTGAAAATGTGATCAATTGGTCCAGTGTCTGAAATTGAATGTTAGGTTCATATTACATAAAATATGCGCACATTTGGTTGATAGCTAATAAAAAATTTATTATTATTATTGAACATTTACAAAAGGATACTATTTATTCTATGTTTTAAAGTATTTTTTTTATATGAGTCAACAATTTACTTAACATCAATTTTGAGCTGTCATATTTATCAGAGAAATTCAAATTTTTTCTGTGAGGATACATCAACAATAGAATTATCTATATTATATGCTGAGTGCCACCATATTTAAAATTTTTTTAATTTCAATGATGTGTTGTTGTAGATTTATGATACAGCTCTGGCCAAATGTATAAGAGTGTATCAGTTACAAATTATCATAAGCAATATTATAACCACATAAATAAGATTTGTTACTTTAAATGTAATTATTATTCGTATAATATTAGATAAATTCTTTAATTGTATAGGTGTATTAGGAACCACAAATCCATTAAATTGGTCAACAATATAAACTCCATTAACACAATGCATAGAATAAAGAAAAACATCTCTCTCTGTGTAAATAAATATATATTTTGAGATTAGCAAATCACTACAAACATAATATTTAATAAATTATATTACTTACTGTATACAAAAATTCCATATGTTTCTAATTTCTCTAAATTTGAATCATTTTCTGAAAACAACTTCTGTATATTAAAGAGAGCCAGTTATATAGCTAGCAGTTAAATTCTATTGTTAGTAGTTTTCACAATAATAGAAATCAAGTTTTTATTTTACCTTATCTTTAAGGATCTTTGCACAATCTTCTTTCATCTTTACATCATCATGATAATAAGCATTCCCAATAGCTTTTCTAAAAACTACCTGAATTTCTGTGTGATTAACATTCATTATTAAAACTGCATCATGAAACCAGCTACCAGAATTTAAATTATGTTTGTCTAAATATCTTTTCAATTTCAATTGGTTCTTTTGATCAGTATTTTCAATTTCGCTTCTGATTGAAAACAAATGTAAATGAAATAAGATATATAGATTTTTCAGCTAAACAAAAGTAAATCACTTTACATGTTCATCTGAATCACTTCATTTAAGTTCAAAAAAATTTTCTCTCAAAGTCTATTTATAATTCAACTGCAATATGCATATTCTGATGCATTGGCATCTGTTAAAGGACTTATGGGTGTCTGAAAACACATTAAGCTTATCAAATATAGGTATGTCATTAAGACGTGGTTAGTTAATAAATAGTGAACAAAAATAAATTATAGTTAGAGGTATCTTTACAAAGCTGTGTATACTTGTTGAATTCACCTCAGCATCCAATCTCTTACAAATAAATATGGAGGATTATTTTCAAATGGTGCTTGATTAATAATGACCTCAACTTTATTCAAGTCAATATAATATCCAATGACATTTTGTAAAATAGCATTATCATATCTCTCCAAAAGTAATTGTAGATTATGTTCAAATACTAGAAGCAAACCCTTAATTTTCCTTCTATCTAGAATATATTATTCATTTTAATATAAAAATAGAAATTAAAAGAAATTAAAACCAACTGCAAATAAATTAAGACGTCACCTTTCTCCAGTTTGATTTTATTACTATCCATTTCTGATCAGTAAACAGACACTTAATTGGATTATACAGATATTCTTCAGGTAAGAATATAATTTTATACCTTGCAATTCCATTTATAATACTGAGAAGTCTCTTAATGGCTGAGTTTTTCAAATTCTGTGACACTAAAAAAAAAGATTTATTAGATGTCAAATAGAGATAAAGTGTAAGAAAGAATAAGATACTTGTATAATTTCTTTAGGATATTCTTCGTACTTATCATCATTATCTTTATTCACATCTTCATTTTTGATTTTCAATATACTTTTATAGAAATAGATTTCAATTTGAAAAGCAACCTAGAATAAAAAAAAGAGAGAATAAAGCATCAGGCTTACTCAGATGTATTTAGATCGATATTAGATTTTATGTTCCTGTTAATTGAACCAGAATCAACTAAAATAAATCAAGAAATATCAAAAAATGTCAATAACTCAATGTCTTTAAGAATGCTGATAGCAAAAATAATAAAAATATGCTTACAATCTTTATTATTTTGTTGCATTGCAACAACATCAGCTAATGTCAACTCCACATCTTGCTTCTCTTATTCTATATCCTTATCTGATACAATTTTTTTCTCTTTAAAGTCAAAAGTAATGAGTTCATTTTTAATGTATTTATGGAGTTCTATTACTGTGGTTGTATATTCTTGCAAATTTTTTGACTGAATCAGATAATATGGATTAGTAACTTTTAAAGATATAAATAGCAATATTAATTAATAAAAAAAAAGCATCTTCATCTCTGCAAGTCATACAGTTTCTTGACTCTTTATTTGTATCAGTTGAAGGGTTTCCTCATTTTTTATTTACTTTAAAGTCTTCAAATACTTAAAATAATTGTTTCTATTTTTAGTCAACTTCCAAGACTACAAAATTTTACAGAGAATCAAACTTTAAAATTACTTTTTATATATGGGAAATTATTATTTTACACATGAGATCCATAGTGAACTAATAGTTTAACACCCAGACGACTAATACAGTCGTCCCTCTCTATAGTCACCCCCTATATAAGCATACCCTTTCTTTATTCACATTGTTTTTTGTCCCAATTTTTTATATAGTAAAATGCCCTTTTTATAGTCACAAATTGATTATAATCATTATTACACCAATTTTTTAGCCAGTATATTAATTAATATATGTAAATTTTTCTCATATAATCACACCATATCATATGATAAATATATAATAAATATGTATTCAGAAAATATTGTGTATTTGTTTTAAATTCAAAAATTGTTATGCAAATTTTTACATATATTAAATATATAAATTTAGAATATTTTATGCATATTTGTTAAATTCGAAAAATGCATCACGCATTTTAAATCTTATTTAGATTGATAATCATGCAATAAAAATTTTTTTAAATACTTTTGAGTTTTATATAAGTTTAACGAAAATTCATTCATTTTTTATAATTTTAATATAATGCCACCAACTTATTTAAATAAACTAAAAAAAACTCAAACTTCTATTAGTGTTAATATGAAAAAAGAAGTATGTCAATATATGCTAGCTAATCCCAATATAAAACATGATGCTGTTGTATTATATTTTAATAAAAAGTATGAAGGTAAAAATATTGATAAAACAATTATAACAAAATATGACAAGAGTATGAAAAATAGCTAGCAATCCTTTCAAATTCACAAACTTTCCATAAAATTTACTATCGTTTTACCCATTTTCCTGAACTTGATAAGGCTATGCAAATTTGAATATCATAAGTAATGACAGCTGGACTTCCTTTAACTGATTTAATTTTACAACAGAAAGGAATAGAGCTTATAAGAATGTTAAACATTGGAGAAGATCAGTTAAAGTTTACTAATGGTTAGGTATGAAGATTCAAGTAATGAAATAAACTTCAAAGAGTTAATTTTCTGGTGAAGCAAATAGTGCTCTACTTACCACTCTTCCTGAAGAATGTGTACGATTATGTAAACTTTTATCATCATATAACAGGAAAAATATTTATAATGCAGATGGAACTGATTTATTCTTTAGAATAGAACCAAACTAAACGCTTAGTACCAGAGCAGTTGCAAGACATAAAAAAGTAATATTGGTTTATAAAATAATTTTAAAAGCTTTTCTTTATTAAATAAATTATTTAAACTTTATTTATTTGATTTTATAGGACAAAAATCAGATGTTTGTACTTTTTTACGCAAATGCAACAGGTTTACACAAATTTCATTCTCTTATAATTAGAAAATCACTCAATTCCTGATGTTTTAAAAATTTTAATAAATCAGCTCTTCCTGTTATCTATTAAGCTAATAAGAAAACTTTGGATGTAATCTGATATTTTTGTTGAATGGATTCAACATTTTGACTATTATTTTCGCACAATGAATAGAAATATTTTACTACTTGTTGATAATGCTAGATGTTACTTCAATCCAAAAATTTTAAAGATAATGTTAGTAATGATAATGAATCTAATAGTAAGCAAGAATCCTCTGTTAGTACTCCTAATCAAAAAAAAACAACTAAAAAAAAGTCAAAAAAATACTGGATATCACTCTTATCAATATTAAACTTGTATATCTTCTACCTAATATTACTGCACACCTTTAACCTATGGATGCTGGTATCATTCATAGCTTTAAAGCTAAATATAAATAAGAGTTTTGCAAACACTTAATTCGTTAATTTGATTCTGAAGTAGATTATGTAAAGTAAATTATAAAAGCTTAATTTTTTTTTATTCTATAAATTATAATAAATTAATAATAAATATTTTTTTTTAGAAATAAGTTAAACGTTAAGAAAGCAATTGAATACATTGCTAAAGCATGGAATAACGTCACCTCAACAACTATTCAAAACTGTTAGTTGAAAACAGGTATTCTTCTATCTTATAATGAATTTACAGACGAAAATATTGATTATGAGGAGGATGATGCAGATATTTAAGAGGAAGACGAAATTGAAATTCTTTTTGATAGTTTATCAGAAGCTAAAAAGAAATGTGTAAATATTTTCAAACACTTGATCAAGATATTCCTACTAAACAAACTCTTACTGAAGAGCAAATTGTTAATATGATGTTAACTGATGAAAAAGAAGAAAGTAATAGCAAGGAGGATGAAATATCTCCTGTACTAGTTAAAAAGGCTATTGATAGATTGAAAACATTTATTAATTTTTTTGAACAACAAGATAATTTTGAATTTAAAGTTGAAGACTTATATATTTTCTGAAAGTATTTATGAATTAGTAGGATAAAGAAATTTAATTTAAAAATCAAAATACACTTAATATGTTTTTTGAAAAATAGTTTTTTTATTTTAATAATTAGTGTTATTATAATACTTTTTTTTTATTATAATTTTGTAATTAATATAAAAGGGTATATAATTAAATAGATATATATGTACATTGAGTTTATATATAATCTTTAAGTTTGCATTTGTGTTCATGTAAGTTGAAAAAACTTATATATAATGCGTTTATATTTGTGTAAGTTAAAAAGACTTATTTATATAATGGGTTCATGTTTGTGTAAGTTGAAAAGTTATATAATGAGTTGATATACATAAGGGTGGGTAGTTAAGAGCAGAAGGTAGGATAAAATTAAGTTTTTTTATTTTTTTTTATATTTTTTACAATATTAATTTTGTAAAAATTAAATGTTTTTATTTTTATTTTATATAGAAACTTTTTAAAAAAATTTTTTTTTATTAATAATTTTTTTTTAATAAATAATTAATCTGATAATTAAGTAATAGTAATCCAAAACCTATCTGTGATTAATATAATTTAAAAAAATAATACCAAAGCAAATTATAAAAAAAAAAGTACATAATAATTTATAAAATCATATAACTAAAGTAATTTATTAATATTAATTTAAAAAATACACATATTATTTAAAATAAAAATTTAATTTTAAAAAAATTATATATATATATGACTATATAATAAATCCCTTGCTATAAGCACACTTATATATAATTACACCAATTAGTGATCCTAAAGGGTGTGATTATAAGGAGGGTCAACTGTAGTCCTGTAATGTATCACAAAAGATTAAAGACATTTCTGAACTATAGCAAACTAATAGTTCAATACCCAGACGACTAACAGTCCTGTAATGTGTCATAGTTCAACACTAAATAAAAATTAATACTTGCTCCTAGTTTCATATATATTTGATCAGCCTTCAGCTTAATATTCTTTGAAATGAAACTATTACTTACGCACTGAATAGCTTTTTTCATATAATCTAAGATTCTTTTCTTATCATATGAAACATTAAAGATATACCATTCAGTTAGATTATCAAAAGACCAGCTTTCAAGAGAAGTTTCATCAAAATATTCGGTTATAAATGAAGAATTATTATTATCAATCAGTGGAAATGTCATACTCTGATCATGTATATTATACAAACTAATAAATTTATTTATATTACCGATCATTTCTTTATAATAAAATATAATGCTAAATTTCACTAAGCTATATTTGAGTTCTTATTTTCTCTTTTATAATAGGTTATCTATATATAATAAATGTTAAATGACAGGTTCAAAAGAAGGTTAATCAAATATGTTATTAGAGTGATATTTATAAATTTGTTCCATTCAATCTGGAACTTAAAGTAATGGTTTACAGTTATTAATATTATAGAAATTGCAGCTTTAAACTTTGAAGATGATATTACTTCCATACATTTTCTAACTTCACTCCTATATTATGAAACTCATAGTATTTTAACTAATAATATTTATGAGAACTCTATAAATAGGAATGATATTTTGCTTGGGCCGCTTCCTGTTAATTTTCTTTATAAATCTGAAGAATCCAAATCAAATTCTAAGTATGATTTTTTTTCTCTTCAATCTCATGAAGATTTACTTCAAAAAATGATAGAATCGATAGCAAGTAATTGGTATATATGTAAATATATTTTTTTGCGTGAATAATTAATATTAATAATATAAAATATTTTTAGATAATGACGATAATGATGATAGTATTGTCAAATATGACTTTGATAAAATAGAAAAGGATTTAGATGATTGTACTGTTGAAGAAAATCAGAACCTTTATGACAATAATGAAGAAGAAACTAATGAAATAATTAAATTTGATGAGTATAATATAACAAAAATAATAGACAAAATTAATAATAATAAAAAAGTTAACATTAACTTTCCTATTTACTCTTCTATTTCCTCTCCTATTTCCTCTTTTTCTTCACTTTCTTCTTCTCGTTTTTCACCTTTCTCATTAATACCTTGTATAATTATTAATTATATTAAAGATACTATTCAAAAATGTAATTCAACATATAAATTACGAAGGCTATATAACTTTTATGAAACATAGCAAATAGATCAAAATGCAGTTCAACAAGTAGATAATGATTATTCTAAATTAGAAGTTTGTATTTCTCATTTTTATTTGATCAAAATCAACTTCATAAAAATTTAGATAAGCAATTAAAAAATATAAATTTATCTACAATTCAAAAGCGAAGATGTATTGGATATAAAAATTTTATAACATTTTTTTAGTTGAAAAAAGGGATGTAGAAATCATTCATGGTTGATAGATAGTCGTAGGATTTAAGTTCCTTGTAATAGATTAGTATATTGTAATTCGTTAAGAAATTATTCTACTTTTTATCAATGTACTTATAATGATACTAAAAGATCATGATGTGTTTGTTATATTTGCTATGAAAATTAGGAGGACATATTCGTAGACATTCAGGACGAGATCAAAGAAAAGATTGCATTAAAAATTAATTGCATAATAAAGATACTAGTAAAGGACTTGAATTTATTGCACAATGGCTTAACAACATTGCAAAAAGCGATGATAAATCAAAAAAATCATGATTTTGGAAGCAGCAGTCAATTCATTTCTTCCTTTTATTTTTCAAGAATCTTCAAGCAATAGCACTATTAATGAAACCTCAACACAACCCATAAGTTTATTTATAATTAGAGTGTTATTTCTTGATACATTTCAGATACAAAAAAATAATTCAAAAAGATTGATTGAAAGTAAAAACGAAGTGGAGGATTATCATTCTTTAAGATGCCAAATTGATATAAAGTTATGTAAATTGCATAATGAAATAAAAAAGAAAAAAGAACTATTGGAATCGCTAACATTAATTTCTAAATATTATAGAGCATTCCCATTATTTCTTTCTGAATTTTTTATGGGTATGATTTATGAAATTTTTAAAAAAAAACAGCAGTTAGTAATCTTTAAAAAAAGCATTGAAAAACACTAACAAAACAAATACCCAAATTAAAAATTCTTAAAATTATTACCTTTTTTATATAAGTTTTAACTAGAATAGCTTTTCCTTTATATAGAATATGGTTGACAGATATTTTAGTTAGTCTAGGATGCAAACCAAAATTGATTACAAAGTTATATCAACTTTTAACAGTTTGGAATATTACTAGTCACACTGAATATCATGAACAAACTCAAAAAAAAATACAAATGAGTAATATTATACCAAAGTAACGTTTAATTAAAGAATCAAATATGTGGAATTTGGCTATAATTGATAACATAGATTTCAAACAAAATTCTTTCGCTTTTGGTAATATATATGATGTAACTCAGGGTAGTTCTCACTTAATCTTACGAATGGCTTTTCAATTAAATATGATAACTTTTGAAAATAAACAAGAAATTAGTTTAGATGAAAATACTTATCTTTTTGGTATGAATTTAGAAACACAGTATGTTTTCAATGTATTTCAAAAAACTCTTGAAAAATTGTTAGATATAAAAATTAATAATACTAGTCAGTTAATATATAATAAGGATTTTGATGCAGAAACAATAAAAAAGGAACTATTATCTGAGTTTAAATATAGTTGTCAAGGATCTTTACCGCATATAATTATTTTAAAACTAGAAGAAAATCCAAATTCTGATGATTCTATTTTGAAAGCTGTAAAAATATATATAGACGATTTTGAATTAAATGAAAAGGAATACCTTGATATTGTTGCAGATAAAGCTATTTTTCGACGTTTGATGAGAGCTAGAGCTCAATGACCTTACTTACAATCATTATTAAGACAATAGCATACCTTTAAAGACTTTTATTCTGTTTTGTTTGTATTATTTTCTAGTTATGAATTATTAAATATTGCTCATTAATTGAGTGTACGTTTTTTGAATAAACTGGAAGCTGCTATTGATTATCAATTGACTGCTTGAGTTTTAGATCTTTTGTGGGTAGCAGTAGGAATTGCAATCAACATTTATATAAAAAAAATATTCAAATAAATCAAATAATGGATGAAAATAATAATTCTCATATTTTTTTAAAAGTATAATACTTATATTATTGTTAGGCTGAAATTTGAAAAGCTTATCATATTGAAATGCAAATCAGCAATCATGATTTACAGCGAGATACTCTTGCTACTACTGCTCCTCTTTTTTCAAGTATTGTCAAATTTAATTATGCAACTGCCATTGCATAATATTTGTCTCTTTTGAAAAATTTTCAATTTTAAATGAAAAACTACGACATGTTGGTTCATTTAAAATATCTAACTCTTCCAATAATAATACTGAAAATGAAAATTCAAAAAATGTTTGTTTTGACTTTGATGAAGCTTTAGAAATATTTAAAATACGCTTCATTAAATAGAATATTACTGGTAACATTATTGATAATACAATTCTTAAGACAAATATTAAAGCTGCACAAGCTGAAAGAGAAAGAATTGATTTACTATTGAGTGAATATTTAAAGGATACTACAATTTCACGAAGTTCTTAGGCTATTAATGCACATAAAGAATTATTATGAATATTAGCGAAGGATTTGATAGCTATTTTTAATATGAAGGATCCTTTATCTCATCCAAATTTTCATAAAATGAAACCAACTGAATTAAATAAAACAGGATGTGAAAAGTTAATTGCATGTTACAAAGATGGATTAGTACAAATGTAAACAATTTTCATTAAGAAGTTCTATAAAATGAAATAAGAAATATTACTGGGCGACGAGCATTAGGGATTTGTAGAATGAAATATAAAGATTATCTTACTCAAAATAAAATGGATAAAGAAAAAAAACGTGAGTATAAAAAATTTGAAGAAAGTAATATAAATCAATCACAATAAGACATCAATTTACTTCAAAATCAACAGAATCAATCAATTAAAAAAAGAAAGACTCTTTCTCACGAAAAAGAAGTTTTAGAAAGATTATTTATCTATAAGACCAAAATTCCTGATCAAGTATATCAAGAAATCAAACAGTTATTAGGAGTAAAATGGAATAAGAAAAAGATTTATAGCTGATGGAATTATCATATCAAAAAATCTAATTAGAAAATCACTTTTCTATTACCTATTATTATTACAATTATTATAAAGTAAAACGATATGTTTTAATTAATAAATTTTATAATAAAACTATTAAAACACAAATTAAATAACATATAATTTACAATTTCTTAGAAACTACCATATAAATATACTTTTTCCTTTGTGAAAGTGTATAAAAATATTAAAGAAATAGGTACCTGTATTGTAATTTTGAGCATTCTCATATATTTAACCGTTCAATCATAAATATAAATATGAAAATATACCAAGCTTTTAAAATACAATCTCTTTTTATAGAAAGGTTTGATTTTGAAAAAATTTATAAAAATATATAAAATAGAAGTCAAGAATTAATATTTGTTTATTAGCTGAGTAAGTGTATTAAAGTTTAATTACGTTAGCTTGTAAAAGAACCTTTATTATATTTATGTTATATAAAATTTTTAATTAGAGATCGGCAACTCTTATGACATTTCCACTGATTGTTATGTTATTTATTTTATTACGCGTCGGGAAATTCAATCTATTAAAATGTTGTTTAACTGAATATGGTGACTTGAGATCTAAATCTAAAAATAAATGATCTGCAATGAAATGTAGAATTTAAGTACAAAGTTTTCTAATATATGATGTTAAATTGTAAATAAAATGCACAAGAACATTGATTGATCACATCTTAGTTGTTCAATAATATAGAAACCACCATCACCATACATGTTGGCAAAATTCAATCAAGAAAATTCACAACCAATTCTCGAAAAATTCATTGTGTATTTGTATTAATTGGTTAATATGTATTTATTAATACAAAGCTTGAATTCTATTTAATCATGTGATTAATTATTAATATATATTTATCACGAAATTCTTTATTGAATAAATAAAAAGAAAAATTAAATTTCTCTTGACAACAAAATATTGTTATATATGTATATACAGTGAAACTTCAGTATGTTATACAATTTGACATGAAAAGTGATTCATGGATTAATAAAAAAAATAATCACATTACTATTACTATTACAGTTTGTGATGATGATGACCAATTTTGATCCCTGAAATTGTTAGTAATACCAATGTTCACTTTGTGTGGAAAGAGCGAATCCCTTTTCCATCAAGAAGTCGATTATTCGGAATATCATTTCTCAATATTCGACTTGAAGATTCGATTTTCGATTAATCGAATATAATCAATTGATCTATTGAGTTTAGCGCTTTATTAAATTAAAATATAGGGGATATACTGTACCAGTATATATATTAAAACCCGGCGATTATAGAAAAAAAATTATAAAAAAAAATCGCGGTAATTCGCAATTTTTTTTGTTAAAGTACAATTAAATAAAGATATATCGAAAAAAAAAAATTATTAAAATCGCAAATTAAAAAAAATTAAAAAAAAAAAAAAAAAGAAATTAACAAAATTAAAATAAAAATACAAAAATTAAAGAGTTATGTTTTTATAAAAACACCAATGATGAGTTAGCGTTAAGATTAGGGTTAGAGTTAAAGTGGGGTTTAGGACAAGCAGCTAGTAATATTAAGAAGTTAAAGAAAATTTACGGGTGGGTATACAGTATGAGACCCGTTCCCTAAAACGGTAACACGTGAAATTTTATTAAATGCTATTATAGATGTAGATTAAAAACCCTCCTTATAAACGATCAAAATTATTTAAATAATGATTTTATCTGGAATTAAAAGGGCTTCTCTTGTTTCATGTCGCTTACATAGCAGAACAGTTAATTCTCGTTATAGTAACGCATTTTCCTTTGTTGTTACAAAACGAACGCGAGCAATAAATGTTTCTGCTTCAAGATTTCAACAGAAGTCACAAGAAAAAGAACGACCTTTTGCAGGTAAATTTATCTTTTTTAAACATTTTTATATATATATATATATATACAATGATAAATCTTTTATCTTACCATAGAACGATTAAATGAAACTTGGAAGAAAACTAAAGTAACCTGGTATCCTATACCGATCGGATTAGGAATAGCTTTCATTGCATTTCAACACTTGCTTCGCGTTTATACCCGTGAAAAAAAAAGAAAAGAGCAAGATTCATCAATTGAAATTGAAAGTCGACCAGTTGTTATAGGCCCCTGGCAGGTAATCTAATTGTATATTAAATACGTTTATTTCTTCCTTTAAAGCATTTTTAATTAGGGTTGTTTTCTTTTTTTTAGGTGTATTTAATTGATTCGCTTCCGCTTCGTGCATTCTCTAGATTATGGGGTCGAATTAATAACGAATATGAATTACCCGTTTTTCTGAGAGAACCTTGTTATAAGTTCTATAGTTGGTTATTTAAATGTAATTTAGAAGAAATAGAAAATACCGATCTAAAAAGTTATCCAAATTTAGGTTCTTTTTTCTATAGATCATTAAAGGCGGATGTGAGACCAATAGAAGATGCAGCACTTGTGGGTCTGGATATAACTTTAGTTTGATATTTAATTTGAATTTTTTTGTTAATTAACTTTTTTTTTATAATGGAATATTTAAAAGGTATCACCAGCGGATGGCAAAGTTTTAAGTTTCGGATTAGTTAAAGAAGGAAAAGTTGAGCAAGTAAAAGGCGCAACTTATTCACTGGATGCACTTATAGGCCGAAAAGAGGAAAAACGTGTAATGAGTTCAGAAAACCACCATGCTGAAATAGCTTCATCGACTCACATTGCTGACGAAAAAGAATTTGCAAACCTTAATGGTATCACGTATTCCCTGGATACTTTACTTGGTGATGATATAGATAATGCTCTTAAACAGGAGAGCAGCGTTGGTGAAGATGCTTCAATTCAATCGGAAGAGAATGATACAAAAAAGGAATTAATTGTGGCGAAAAATGTGACAAGTTATACATTTGGAAACCCTTCTGGACATAAATTGAGAGAGGGGAATACACTTCATTATTGTGTAATATATCTTGCTCCTGGAGATTACCATAGATTTCATTCACCAACCAGTTGGGTTGTTGAAACGAGGCGACATTTTGCAGGTACGCTGTAATCATACTCTTTATATAAACAGGTTTACGACGATATCCCGACACCCAGAATCCCGACTCCAAAATCCTGACATACCCAAAATCCTGATGGACTTTAATCCCGATTGTCAAAATCCCTAAACCTAACCCTAACTCCATTATAACCTTAATTCAACGCAATAAAAAAAATATAACCCAATTCTAACCCTAACCCTAATCCTAATCCTTACCTAATCCTAATACTAAACCTGATCAGTTTAGTATATTTCAATAATTATCGCATTTAATATGTATAGGTCGGGAATTTTGAACAGTCGGGATTATGTCCATTCGACCATCGGGAACATGGACTATCGGGATCTTGGGTATGTCGGGATTTTGGAGTTGGGATTCTGGACTGTGGGGATTCTGGGTGTCGGGATATTTGTAGGATCCCACATAAACAATGTCATACTATACTAATGATTATTTTTAGGGGAATTATTTTCTGTATCACCATACATGGTAAATATGCTACCAGATTTATTTGTTTTAAATGAACGTGTGGCATTACTTGGAAGATGGAGATGTGGATTTTTTTCAATGATTCCGATTGGAGCAACAAATGTTGGTTCTATCCGAATTAATTTTGATAAGGTGATTTAATGAATTAGTTTAATTGTATCAAATTAGGAAAAAATAAAAAAAAAATGCTTTTCTATAGCTCATAATTATTATCTTAGGCTCTCCGTACTAATCGAAGAGAAGATTTACCAGTTGGAACATATACGGAGGTTTCTTATAAAAAAGCAAGTAAATTGCTTGGCGGACAACCATTGAGAGCTGGTGACGAAATGGGAGGATTTTGTTTGGGTTCGACTATAGCTTTGGTATTTGAAGCGCCATTCGATTTCAAGTTTTGCGTGGAAACAGGACAAAAGATCAAATATGGACAAAAGGTAGGAGAAGTTTAAGGACATTCATAGTTATCTTCATATGTTCTTGGCGCAGCACATGATTATGGGACATTTCAAGTGTTTTGAAATTGGATCAGTTAACAGGTTTCTTAATTTCATAAGTGCAGATTAAGGGGTAATTAGGTATTATATAATTTCATTAAGAAACATCCAAATATAAATATAAATTCGTCTATTATGAGGATTCATATTGAGAGAGTTTCTCATTTAAATCCAAATGAAAATTAAAAACAAGTGATTTATGCTTATATAAAAATAACTTTTCTTTGTATAGAAACAAATTATGATAAAATATCTAACATTTAAAATATTTAATAAAATTCTCAATGGCAAAAATAGATAAAAGTGTTGTAAGTCCTTATTATAAAGTTCGGACATGCTCATTTGGTACAATTCTATATTATTACTGAGGTGGCGTTATACGCTCTGCATAATTTAGAGTCCATTCGCGAGCTATAAAATATAATTGGATTAAAAAAAAAAAAAAAAAATCAACAGGTATTTAAAAGATAAACTATTACACTTGTACCTTTCGCGATAGCTTCTGGTTCGTTATCTTTCCAGTGTTGCGCTACATCATTTGCTAAAGGATCATCAGGATTCGGGGCTGAAAGAAGTGCTTGTATGGAAAGAAGTACAGTACGAATTTGTAATGCGGGTGACCATTTATCTGATATAAATTGTAGAGAAGTCTTATAAATCAAAAAAATATATATAAAAATAAATTTTATTTTTCTTTAAAAAGAAACCCACAAACCTTTTAAAATGTCCAAACAGATTCTGCCTAGCTTATCAATGTTTGGATGATATATTCTAGTTAAAAAACGAACTTTTGGTGGTGTCATGGGATATTCCTCAGGAAGGAACAATTCAAGTTTAAAAATTCCACCTAAAATAATTAAACGAAAAAGTTGGAGGAAACATTTTATTTAAAATTCTAATATAATAAAAACAAAGCAAACCTTCAAAAGGAGACTGTTCCGGTCCTGTAATATCAACGTCAAAATAACGAAGGTTCTCTTCATGAGGTCTGGCGTTAATACCAGGTGCTGCATCTGCAATTAATCGTTCGGTTTCCTAAATAACAATTTTACCGGATCATACAGTAATGTTATTAGTAAAAATAATGAGAAAAATAAAAAAGAATAGTACCTTAATGATTCTTTTTGGAAGCATGGACATTTTTAAAAAGTGAAAAAGAATTAAAAGAATTGTAAAATGGTAAAAAAAAAAAAAAAAATGGTTTAATTTAGTATAGTCCCATGATACACGTGAGGGTGCTGATTGACTATTTTCAATTGAAAAATATATATGTATAAAAAGATTAGCTCAATCCGGAAAAATTATTTTATGATATATATATTTTTTTTTACTAATATGCTTTTGTTTTTTTAAATAAACTTGCCCCATTTTTCATGTTGCGGTCAAGTTAATGTTCTTTTACTGTGTTTGTGCGTTATAAAACCACAACACGCACGAGCTTGCTTCATCTAAAAAACTTAAGCAAAGCTTAATTTCTTTTATGAAAAAAATCAACAAATTTTAGTGTAAATCACTTTAATAAATTTCTTAAAACTTCTTATATACCTTTGAAGCGAGGTTTTTTTTTTTTTTTTATTAATTTTTCTTTTGATTTTATTAAAACCTTTCCTTAATTCTATTAAACTCAAAACGATTTATTTTTAAAAATAAAAAAAAAATCAAAAACGCATTAATATGACTAAAAAATCTAAATCTTCCGTATCATTTTGTACCAAATATACCATTGATAAAATGCGATTAGCAGGACAAACTCCTACGTTGACCGAATTGAATCAAGCAATTGTTAGTGAAGCAAAATATCATAATGATTGGTACGCAGCAGCTTCATTATTTAAAGATTTTGACAAAATTGTATGGGAAAGGTTATCTCGTCTATCAGATAACAGACAAAATAATAATGACAAGGAGAAGATTCAAAGTGATGATATCTGTTACGATTTATTACCAATATTATCATTAAATCAAATTTGGGAAGGTACACCAACTCCAATGCAACCATTGACTTCAAAAGAATTAAAACTTATTAGATGTGTATATCAAATTATGATACGATATGCTCCATCGGTCAAAGAAGCAAACTATTATTATCTTCATTTGCTTCATAATCATCTTGATACTCCAATTTATGATGATGAATGTATCAACCATTGCTTGAATTCATTGATTTATCTGATCTCTACCAGTAATATCACGGATTATTTGGAAATCGGATTGGAACTTGTAGAAATTGCATTGTCACGTGGAATAGGAAAAGATCCATCAGGAATTTTGGAAAGTGTATCAAAGAATATCATGGCATACCATGGATTAAAAATGCGTAGAGACGGTCACGTAACAAAGGTTTTACCTGTTAAACCCGTTAACCTTAAAGGACATGCAGATCGTTCGAGACGTAAGAATAAAAAAAAGAGAGGGGAAAAACGTAAAATTAATAAGCTTGGTGATTCAGTTAAAAAAGTTCATGATTTAAAACCTAATAATGATTCTTCACTAAAGAGTAATGATTATTCTTTGGATTTGGAGGATGGTTCAACTTTTCACTTGGAAGATGAATCTTTTGATATTGTCGATGATAGTGATGAAGAGTTGAAGAGTAACATCACCCTTGATAGTGATGAGCAGATCGTCATATTTAATGAATTTATGTATTTTGAGCAATTCGAGCGTCTTGTTGAAGAAAATGAATTGGATGTAACTTTGGTAACAAATATTACAAATGAAAACAAATATTAATAAGAATTTGGATGTGGTAATCTTTGTCTCATTTATTAATTTATTTGATCTCTTTTCCTAAATGATCATTCTATTTTACAAATAGTTCTAAGTCGAAAATAGAAAGCAGAATTGTATAATATAAGAATTTATACAAAGCTATTTTATTCAAATTCCTATTACGAAATTTCTTTTGTTTTTTCAAAATTTCAAAACGTTACAAAACGACAAATAGTAAGTTAACCCAAACTATTTATACATATAACCGGACGAATATTCAATAAATAAAGTAGTAAACTATTTTATTATACTGATTGATGTTACTTTGCAATAATGCAATTTTTATCTAAAAAATAATGCATTGTTAATTAAATAAAGTATAACATATAATGATTATTTGTTGTGATAATTTGATATAGCTTTTAAAAGTTGCCCTATAAGTATGAAGGATAATATAACATAAATGATTAAATATAAAAAATAAAGAAAACAAAATAAAGAAAATAAATAAATAAATAAGATATATTAAACATATCAATTAAAATTTTTTTTAAAAAAAAGTAAATCTTATTTTATCTTATAATTTAAGTAATATTATATAAATAAGAAATATGAAAACTAATTTATATAATAATATATAATTAATATAAAGTATTAAATAATTATTTTTTTACTACTTTTATTTAATTTAAATTTTTTTTATTAATTTTTAAATTATTTTACAATAATATTATATTATATTTAAATCTTTTAATAAATATAATTATATATTGTAATAAGAAGATATTAATTAAAAGATCAGCTGACGCAATATGATATATGTGACAGAAGTCACATTAATTGCGCTACATTAGATGACGAAGATGGTGAAGATGAGAGAAATGATTTAAATGAAGATTACATAAAAAACCCAGAAGTCACCAGAAAATTCTTTTATATTATTAGTTACTTTATATTATTAATCATTTATTATTAGTAATTAATTAGTATTTTATTTATTTATATTAGTAAATTAGTATAAAAAGGATAGCTTTAGGACTTGGTTAAGGCAGACAACTATAATAAAACAATTTTGAAACTATAAGAATTTAATTAGTTTTTATCATCAACAAGATAAATGCTAATAACAGTTATATGTTAACAAATATAATTATGCTGAATTCTTTATTATATAATAAAATCCTTAAAGTTTATTCTAAATATACATTATTACATGAAGTAATAATTATTTGTAAGCCCTTCAGAGCTCTCCCTAGTGATAAATACTTTGACAATGAACCTTAATAAATCTAGAGAAATTTAACATTGATTACATTACTGAAGAGTAATACCTATAAACTGTTCAACAACATATAATAGATAAAAAACTTGAAAATCATAAGATCCCATTTATTACCTATTTAGATCAATTCTATCTACAGTACCACCTAAATTACAAAACTTAATCAGAAAAATTACCATCTTTTGATAATTTTTAGTTTCTGTAGATTGCGCTTAAATATAATGCTATATTATATATTACTTTTATTATAGCATATTTTATAAGGACTTAAGAGAGCGAAACTAGCTTTTTGGAAAGAGATCGTTTATTAAATATCTATTAAGAAAAATTATTACTATAATTAGATATAAGGGTAACATATTAAAAGAATCCTTTGATAGCATTGCCAAAAAATTATATTATATCTGAATAAAAATAAACAATTCTAATCGTGAAAAACTGAAAGCATTAGCAATACTAGCTCTATCACAAATAGTAATTGTAGTAATACTTTAGAAAGTATAGAAAGAGATCAAAATAATATTATCATAGCACCTTTTCAAGAAAGTAACAAAAGTTCTCCAGAGACAACACTACCAATAATAATGAATAGATCACCATCAGAAGCTATCATACCTATATCCTAATCACTAACTAATTAATTATCTTATAATAGTATATAACTATGATAATCATATCTAGGAGATAGGAGGTAGCATGATGAATAAGAAAACGATACATATACTCCTAATTATAAGTAAAATATCATATATGAATATGTCAATGATGATGATGAAACACTGTAGGGAATGTTCTTTTTTAATAATGCAAATGAACTAAAAAGAAGAGAAATACCAAATAGAATACTTTGAAGAATCATATTTAATACAAATAATGATAGGAGATTTCCATTCTCTGTCATAGTAGAAAATGTCTAACAGTCAGTAATTGCAACTATACATAATAACTAATCATCAAGGCCATTAAACTCAAGGATAATAACTTCATCAGTAGGAAATACAAATGGTAGACTAATGTTAGGAAATTCTTTTATACTCAACAATACCTATAATTTTTTTTAAGCAACTCAATATAGCCATATATTTGATTCTTTTATACTATTTAATCCTTTCTGAAGTAGTAATCCATTTATAACTTCTAGTTTTATAACTGCAAATTGGCAGTCAGTAGGTAACCAATGATTTAGAAGTAATCAAAATAACAGCAAAAATAATATGAGACATTAAAATATAACTATAAAAGAAACCTCATAGGTAATAATAGTGGTTTAACCATATAATACACAACTATCATTAAATTTCATAGGAGGTAATTTTCAGTTAACTAATACCATAACTTCTCAGTCAATGGACAGTAGGTTACCATTGCCTAATATAGATACCTCTCAACTAATACCTATATCCCAACTAGTTATAATACCAGTAGGGAAAAATAATGATAATGCTTACCTTCAAGTTATATAAAGTTTAACAGAATAGCTTCAAAAATAACAAATGAGAAAGCAATGGTTAGTAAATTTATTAATATTTAGAGGAGAAAACCAGAATCCAGTGGATTAGCTCAAGGCTTTTAAACAAGCCTGTAAAACAAATCATATTAATACCATTTAAATGGTTGAGATAGTTTCTAGTTACTTAACAAGAATAGTATTAACATAGTTTCAATGATAGTATATTACTAACTGGAACAGTAGAATCAATCCTAATATTTCCTTCGTATTATTATTTGAATAATATTTCTGCAATACATTTCGACAAAATCAATGGAAGCATTAACTTAAATATAGGAAACAGAAATCAGGTAAAACCATTAAAGAATATGCTATAACAATAGGAGAATTGTGAAAGAAGGTTAATCCATAGTATAAGTAAGCTAAAATGAATAGAGTAGTTAAATTTATTAAAGAACTACAATTAGAATTTATGGTATTAGTACAAACAGTAATGCTAATAATGGTAGACCAAATAATTGAAAAGGCTAGAACAGTAGAATCTGCATATTCTATTGAAATGAAACTATCTACTTATTCATTAATACTCAATTATATGCAATTATTATAAGAGGAATAATACTAGCTTATATAAATATAATAATACAACTCACATTTATTACACAGCAACTAGATATTGAAAACACTATTAATTGTAAACTAAATGAAGGATTATAAGCGATTATAGTAAATATTGAGTAACAATAACAACAACAATAACAGCAGCAGTAGCAGTAGCAATAATAACAATGACCATATAAATGCTTTAATTATAAAAAATCTGAATACTGATCTAAAGATTGTAAAAGTAATCAATATATAAATAATACAAATAATCAATCAAATATTGAATATTTTAACTGCGAAAAATTTAGCCATTTTGTCAAGAATTGCAGAAGTTCAAATAATAATTGAAGATGAAATTTCCAAAATAATAATAATAATAACAGAAATTGTAATCACAATAATAGCAGAAATAATAATTATAGGAATGATAATAATAATAATAGTAATGGTAATAATAACCAATAGTATTTAAACTAAAAATTACATCTTTTAGGAATGAGTATACGAACAAATCAAAATTTTTAAAAGTAAAAATAGAGGAAGAATCAAAAGAAAATATTCAAGATAAAATAAAAACAAAAGTAAGTTTAATAGAAGTACTCTATATATGCAAAGAAATAATTTAAAAATGCAATTTAGAGGACTATATAAAAATAAATATGATCATTTCAGTTGCAGAAAGTATGATTATTATAGCCATATTATGTATATAAATTGTAATAAGATTGTTAAAGAAATAGCAGCATAATATAAATTAAGAAAGTAAAATGGAAGAATTTACTAATAGATGAAAGGATTTTTAATAAAAATTAACTAATTAAATTAATAGATCTCTAACAATAAGAAGAAATTACTATTAAGAAAAGACTAAAATATGTATTAGAAATTTTATATAATAATAAAGAAATCTACCTTTCAAAATGAATTGATTTAAATAAGAAAATGTATAACTTATGATAAATAGTAAGTGGAAAAATTGAACTAGAAGAATCATCACTAAAGGCTATGATTTGAAAAATTGATAAAAAAACTGAAATACAAGTAGATAAAGATCACTTGAAATATATTTTAAATGATCTTACATATAATTGTAACATATATAAAATAAAATTAAATAAGAAAATACCTCAACATACTGAACCTACCAAATACAGTAATTGGCAACATTTTGAGTTTGATGAATATTTACAAATGGCTAGACTAAATGAATTAATACCAACACATAATAAATATAAAGAATTTTTCATAACTAAATTAAAGGAACAAATTATTACTAATCATACAGAACATGATAAACCTATTAAGAATGTATTATTTATTGAAGTTCAAGTAGAAGAATACCCTATAAATGCTTTAGTTGATACTAGATCTGTAGAAAGTATCATTACTCAGTAGTATTTTAGGTAAATCAATAGAAAAATTGATAAACTTATAAAAACAAAAATTATGGAGTCAATAGAAAACTATAATGCCTTTAGGAATAATTAAGGGAATTATAATAGAGGTCAATAAAATAATCATTAATGAAAATATGCTAGTAACTAATGCTATAGAATATAATATTATTTTAGAAAATACCTGGTTGAAAAAATCTGTGCTATTATTGACTATGATACAGGTATCCTAGTTGTAAAACAACAAGATCAAACTTCTATAATACTTATGACTTGCATATAGAACATA